GTTTTACATCGGTGACAGGTAATCGTAGTTTCACTGTGCTATTGACAGACAAAATTATCACATTTGTCACACAATTGTGACGTAAATTTATTTTTCTGTCTTCCACATATGGCGCAATTTCCCCGCTTTTTTCTTGGTGCATCATGTTTTTGTGCCTCTTCTTTAGGTTTGTAAGTCGTTAAAAATAACTGAATATCTGAAGGTCATTTTAGACCTTTTCTCTAAGTGAGATTTCATAAGTTGAAATGATAAATTTTTAAGAAAAATTCTTCTTGGCCTCTTTGCGTTGTTTTTGTTACTGTTATATAAAATCTGGGCATTTATTCCAGCAACATTGAAAAGAGCATAAAATAATGCTAAGGGCCACCTTCTGGTGTTTCGCGAAATAGAATATCCCCCACATAATTGGAAGACTGTATCGACGCCACCCTTGGTCTTATTGCAGTCAAGAATTATCTCGCGCTTTCCAGTTTTTTCGTCAATTTTTCCATCATCATGCATAGTTGAAAGTAATACTACAGATTTTGACTTTTTCGGAACGTAAGATACCATACACACCTCTTTTTGAAAACCATGGCACCAAGATCCAATTGCACGATCTTTGTGGGGCAAAAACTCAGGAGGTATTTCTGATTTATTTTTTCGCAGGGTACCAATGGTTGTAATTTTTTGTTTCAAAAGTGAACATGCCAAAGGATAGCTGGTGTACCAATTATCGGTGGTCAGATTTCTATTAGTACCTTTTATATGCGCAACTAGTCTGTTTACTATATCAGATAGAGAGTTAGATTTACAGTAGGGCCCCTCAGGCTGTTTGCCATAGTAAACTTCAAAAGCACTGTTCGGCTATTCGGCCGGTTTATTCGGGATATATTGGATAAAGCTGCATCGTCCTCTAAAAGGTTCCAGTTTTTCATCTATGGTCAAATAGTAACTGTAATAACGGTTAAATAGAAACTTGTCTAAAAATACTCTAATTGCCGCCAGTTTATCAAATTTTTTACGTTGTTCTCGTGTTTCTTTATCGTAAAACCTTATACATTGCAGCAATAATTGAAACCGCCTATAGCTCATGCAGGCCCTCAAAATTGGCAAACCTGTTCCGACATTTGTCCACAGTTCCTGGACATTAGTCCGACTTCCTTTTTTAGTACCAATTAGAAACAATAATCCAAACAAAGCCGTCATTTCAGATTTACTTGTAACTTTAACTGCTCTTTCTCTGCTATACTTAACCCCCTTTCACTTTTTTTCAATATACCAATTTGTAAAATGCACGATATCATTTATAATGCTATCATCAATTAATTTCAAAAAAGCCTCAATCTCAGTCTCTTTCGGACCAGGATTCGTTTTTAAAAGATTTTTTGAACTGGTCTTGGAAGTTTGTGAATGATAACTAGTTTTTCTCCATTTGGTTTTCTTGTTTCCACCGGTATAAAAGTTATTACCGATTTCGCCAGGCAGACTGTCAGAATCTACTTCCATATCAGAACCGGAGTCACTAGCACCTCAATATCTTCCAACTCTATCTCTGAAACTGAATTATGGTCTTAACCGGTCTGAATTTGGTTACAATCTCTCCGTCTTCTTCGCTTCATTCTTCGTCATCTGAGTCATTAATTTCTTCTATATCAGGTCTAACTGGTAAGCAGGTTTTGTATGTTTTCAATAAAATTGATAGTATGTAAAATAATTTATTAATTAAGCTGAGTATACTTTCGACATAATAAATGTCATCATCAGAGCTATCCTAAAATAACGTTAAGTTAAGTAAATTGTTTTATAAAATACAATGACAGAAAAAACTTACGTCAATTAGGCAATAAATACTTCATAGAAGGAAAATTGTGGACAAACAACATATTAAAAAACAAAGATCGGGCTCTCTAGGCCACAGATCTTGGGTCTAACCCATACATATGTATAATTCACATCAAATACTTAAAATAGAAAACATGGTTATTACATACAGCGATGACAACAGCTGTTTTTGACTTACATTTTTTGAAGTAAGATGAAGGCGGAAGCTCGAATATACGGAAATAAATCCGAGAGCGACCTCTGTATTTAAAATTATTAATTGAAAATGTCTAAACTGACGTCTGAAGGTTATTGATTATTACTTTTAGTTACTATAGAATTTAAATTTAAATATTTTAAATTGATAAGTCAACGTGAAAATTTAAAATATAACACCCCTATGAGACCAGTGGTTAGTTAACACACACCAATTGTTACATTGTCCAAATTCACTAATTCTATATTACAATCCTCAATATCTGTTCAACCCACTTTTTCTGTCAAAAACTCTACAGACTTCGTAAATAAATTGCCAGTTTTAAATTTACCTAGAGTCTTCTTTCTAGTTTCCTTTGATGTAAGTAATTTGTTTACAAATGTACCTAGAGATGAAACCATTTCTATAGTTGAGAAATTACTTATTCAAAATAACATTAATAGATATACAATTTCTCACATATTGGGTTTACTTAAATTTTGTCTTTCACAAGATTTCTTTCCTTTTAACAATATTATTTATAGACAGGCACAAGGCTTGGCAATGGGCAATCCCTTATCACCTGTGCTAGCAGATCTATTTCTGAATAACCTTGAGATTAATATCTTTGACAATCTTTCTCTGAATCAAAACTCTTTGCAAAAAGTTTTATATTGGTTCAGATATGTGGATGATGTGTTAGCTTTCATAGATGGAAATTCCTCAGATGCAGACAATATCCTAGTTTCACTTAACAACTTACATCCAGCTATAAAATTCACCTTAGAAACAGAATCCAGCAATTCTATTAATTTTTTAGACTTAACATTAACTAGAATAGATAACAAATTAAATTTTTCAGTCTTTAGAAAACCAACTCAGACTGAGCATACCATCCCTAGATCTTCTAATCATCCTTTTCAACAGAAAATGGTCTCCTTTTATTGCTATATCCATCGTTTACGCTAATTACCTCCGTCAGATTCAAATTTTAAATCAGAATTAGAAATTATTAAACAACTTGCTTATAGTAACGGTTATACCCCTACTTTGGTTGATAACATACTCAACAAATTAAGGAATAAAAGGAATAGATCACTAGCATACAACACTGTCCATAACATTTCTTACTCGGCAGTTATTTATCGATCAATATCGTACATAGGTTATCCCTCGGATAATATAGCCAGAATCTTAAATAACACTCCTAATCTAAAACTTTCTTTCAAATGTAAAGAAAATATCAAATCTATTTTTTCTCACACTAAAGACAAAATCAACAAATCGTCAAAAAGTGGTATTTATAAATTATCCTGTGGTGAATGCCCGGTGACCTATGTGGGTAGAACAATGCGACCTTTGGATATACGCATTAAAGAACATCTGTCTAAGATTGATAAATCTAGTTTTGGGAATCATATACATGCTTCAAAGCATGGCTTTAGTCCTCATAGAGATAGCAAGATCCTACACAGTATACCCAATAATAATTATATAAAAATGAATTTACTAGAAGATCTAGAAATCAGTAGAGAAATGAAAAGGAATCCTCAGAACTGTGTCAACACTCAAATTAACTTAAATTGTAAGTTTGATCCAATCTTTAAGAAGTTTCTTTAATAATACATTTAGTATACAATTAACCATCGATTGAATAAGCTTTGGCCTTTATTTAAAAAAAAAAATTTAATTTCTTGAATTTTCTTTCATTGATTTCATCTAAGTAGAAAATGTTTGATATTTTTCTTCTTCTTTATTTTATTAATAATATTGATAATCAATAATAGCTATTGAACTATTAACTTGGCAAATGAAACTTCTCCCTGATTCGTTTTCATCTACTTTCTTCTACTTGGTCAAACTTTAAAAGTTTTGTTTTTTGATATTTTTGATAAATCTATATTTTAAATTTTCACGTTGACTTATCAATTTAAAATATTTAAATTTAAATTCTATGGTAACTAAAAGTAATAATCAATAACCTTCAGATGTCAGTTTGGACATTTTTAATTTTCAATCAATAATTTTAAATACAGAGGTCGCTCTCGGATTTATTTCCGTATATTCGAGCTTCCGCCTTCATCTTACTTCAAAAAATGTAAGTCAAAAACAGCTGTTGTCGTCGCTGTATGTGGTAACCATGTTTTCTATTTTAAGTATTTGATGTGAATTATACATATGTATAAGGGTTAGACCCAAGATCTTTGGCCTAGAGAGTCCGATCTTTGTTTTTTAATATGTTGTTTGTCCACAATTTTCCTTCTATGAAGTATTTATTGCCTAATTGACGTAAGTTTTTTCTGTCATTGTATTTTATAAAAAATTTACTTAACTCTCTGATGATGACATTTATTATGTCGAAAGTATACTCAGCTTAATTAATAAATTATTTTACACACTATCAATTTTATTGAAAACATACAAAACCTGCTTACCAGTTAGACCTATTTAGAAGTGTGTACAAGTCTTACAGTCTTTTTCAATTCTTCTATATCAGACATATCTTCTAAAAATTTTCGAAGCTCTTCCTCCGTAAGTCCTTTTGCCCTAAAATAAAATAAAATGTAAGTTTTGGCAACGCTGTAATACAAAGAAACTGATAAACGACATTTTTTTAGCAATCTAAAATTAGTAGTAGCAGAAAAAATATTATTATAAAGAAAAAAAATAAAAATTAATTTACTTACATGACTGGACGCGTGGTAGCAAAAATGATCCAATTAAATTTAAGTTGCCGTAGACAAAGAGGTTATCGAAATTAAATCGCACAAATTCAACTAACACTTCCTTGTCAATTTCTAGGAAGATACTGAGAGGTATAAAAACAATTAACCCAATAGTCACGCGCCACCCACTCATATTGGTAACACTATTGCACCAGCGCAGAGCCTCCACTCGAGGGTTAATATCCCTTCAAGTTTATTTTATATCACCAGCTTTTAGATCAAAGTTTAATTATGCATCAACACTCTTTTTTTGTACTATTAAAAAAACAGATTACCTTTGAGATGCTGGTCCCGGATACATCATTCGGCGGTGCATCCTTTCTTCGTGTGTTTCTCCCCAATGAGGCATATAATGCTGGCCTGCAGTTTGGGGAATTGAGCAACGCGCTGGCCGGCAGGACAAAAGATGAATTGCTTCAGCTAATCCTTCGGTACCGGGAAGAATACCAGGGCCTCCAGACGGTGGTTGTGGCAGTGAGGGAACTGTTTCTATAACAGAATCAACTAATTACACTCTGTTTTAATTCATATCCAATTCTGTCAGGTAAAAATTGATTGTAACAAATCATCATCATCAGTGGCGTTACAGCTCTTTATGAGCCAAAGCCTTCTTCAGTACAATCCTCCATTCGCCCCTGTCTCTGGCAACTCTTCTCCATGCTCTAATTCCGATAGACTTCAAATCATTGATTGTAACAAATACATTTTTCGAATTACCTAGTAAACGCTTGTATACATAGCAATCAACACAAGACATAAAACATTAAAACATCACATAGTCAGCTCATTTGAAAGATTATTGAATTCTCTATTCAGTAATATAAACATTAACATAATTATTTATACAGGGTGTAAAAAATAATGTTTTTTAAATTAAATTGGCACAAAAAGAAGAATATATGTAATTTATTTAATTCAAAATACATTTTACTGCTGTCAGAAAACAGAAAAAAAATGTTTATCTAACAAATACTTCGTAAATTGCTTTTGCTTAAATTAAATGTTCAAACTGCCAAGGACCAGGTGGGTGGCAGCTTGAACATTGAATGTCCTTCTTTATATAATACGTAAATGAGTTTACTTTTTGGATGCTTCCAATTTCTTCTATATTCTTCTCATCATAAATCGACTCGTCCAGCCGGTAGTGCAGCTAAAATATTCCTGTGGGAGGGCCGCACAGTGTACGATTTGACTAATCTAGGTGGACAATAGGTATTTAAATTTTATTGTTAAAACTACGTTTAATCACTTTCATTTCACTTTTAAATACATACTTTAACTGATGATACAAAACAAAGGCCCCCAGATTGCAAATCTTTTAGAAACAATGGCCGAAACTACCTGCACCTTTTTCAGGTAGACGATCGGCCGCTCAGTATGACCGTTAACGCTAACTTGTGTACACGTGTCTTGGTTTTCAGTGCAATTGTAAGTGCTTTTTTATGATGGATTCGACATCTACAGGTAATTATGCATTTACTTAATGAACCAGATATAAACACATATGCATTTGAAAATATATAATACCCAATACAAAATAGGTCATCAATTTTTTTATTTATTTGTCATACGTAACATTCATTTAGATATATATTATGTTGTCAAGTGTAGTAAAGCTGTATGTATGATCTTAAAGTACTCTCTATTTAGTACACTTTCATAATATAATTACTATTTTTTGCGATTTTTTGCGATTTTTAACATATTTAGTAAATAAAATATAAACAGATATGTATTTGTAAATACTATACTTAATACTCAATACAAAATAGGTCATCAAAATTGTTTATTCCTTTACCATACGTATCTTTCATTTAGATATGCTATGTTGTCAAGTGTATTAAAGCTGTATGTACTGTCTTAAACTACTTTCTATTTCGTACACGTTCACGGGCGCCCATATTAAAAATTTAAGAGGGGGCTACACGTAAAGATGTTGCACATTATATTTTGTAAACTTTGGATAACCATATATAGTTTAAAGCATCCGAAAAGCTACAAGGGGGCCATGGTCTCCCCTGCTCATAGGTATGGGCGCCTATGTACACTTTCATAATACATTGTATAATTAATATTTCTTGCGTTTTTAACATATTTTATGTTTGTGTTTTCAGGTGCCAAATGAAGCGGAAATTATTATTTGAATTTTGGCGTTCTATACCGGCTAATGGTCGATTAAATGCAGTAATCAACTTTGTGAAGATGAGTTTTGATGATCTGGATATTGATCAAGAACAAGAGAAGCAGTTAAAGGTGTTCTTAAAAAATGAATGCGAAAAAATTCGAGTCAAATGGGTTCAGAAGCAAAGACGACTGGACTTGTATTTAAGTGAATACGAACAATGGTTAAATAATGATTTAACTTTCGATATGCTGATATTAGCAAATCAATCTCCAAAACCAAGTACTAGTGGTGGTAGACCTCAAAAAACTTTTATGGATAGCTCCAAAAAGACAAAAAGAGGAAAATTCAACATCTACTTAGCGACTACAGTAAAGAACAATTCTCGTTTGCTGCACAATTAAGTGTCCGAGCGAGAGTGGCAAACGTAATGCTGCTATGTTGATGGAAGAAGTATCGTTAGCCTCACCAAAACGTGCTTCCACATATAAGAAAGCAAGAAAAAATTTAGATGTCCAAATGAAACAAAGACCCTATACACCCGAAGAAGCTTTGGCTTTTTTTATAGCAAACAATTTTACTGTCCAATCTTACAAGAATGTACAACAAGAGGCAAAAGAAGGAGGTTTTAATGCGTATCCATGTTATGATTACGTAGCAAATGTAAAAGAGCAGTGTTATCCTCCAGTTGAAAATATTACAGTGACTGATATATCGGCGGAAGTAAGACTGGATGCTCTACTTAATCATACCGCACAGAGAATATGCAAGAACATTCTAGGAGAAAGGTTAGACACTAACATGCAAAATTATTCTTTAATATATAAGTGGGGGTGTGATGGTTCATCAGGACATAGTTTATATAAGCAACCGTTTGAGGATCCAGAGAGCACGGATGAGTATATGTTTATAATCTCATTAGTTCCAATAAAACTCGGTAAACAATCTACAAGAGACCATATGGCAAAATCCTCGGCCATCATCACCAAGATTCTGTAGAGTACTCAAATTTATTTATAAGAAAGAAAGCGAAGCACTGATAAAAGATGAATGTAGAGCGATTGAAAGTCAAATTCAAGAATTAGTTCCAACTCTTATAGAAGTCCGAGGCGTTACCATCTCAGTCACGCATCAAATGATTCTGACAATGATTGATGGTAAAGTGTGTAATGTGCTAAGTGATAATAGATCAACTCAAAGGTGTTTTATCTGTAAGGCAACATCTAAAGAAATGAATACAGCATTAATAACGAAAGAGCTAGACGATAATATGTACCAGTTTGGAATATCTAGCTTACATGCTTACATTCGTACGATGGAATGCCTTTTAAATATTAGTTATCGTCAAGATTTTTGTGAGTGGCAAGTAAAAGAAGACAATAAAAAAGAAATGTTTAAAACAAGGAAAGACGAAATCAAGAAAAAATTTAAAGAAGTGGGTCTCATTATCGACAAAGTAAAACCTGGGTTTGGAACCAGTAACGATGGGAATACCGCAAGAGCATTTTTTTAAAATTATACGACCATAGCACGCATAATCAACCTTAATGAAGGGCTCATTCACAATTTTGGGACGATTCTTGCAGCTGTTGCGTCTGGTTATGAGATTGACTCTGTTAAATTTCAGAACTACTGTATAAAGACTAGGGACCTATATTTAAGTTTGTACCCATGGTATAACATGCCTGTGACTGTTCACAAAATATTGCTACATGGAGCAGATATAATCAAAAATTCACTAATACCGGTAGGGCAAATGTCTGAAGAAGCATCCGAGGCTAAAAATAAAGAAATAAGAAGAGTCAGACTGGGACATACAATGAAAATTTCAAGACAGCGAAGCAATTATGACTTAATTAAATATTTATTAATATCATCTGATCCATATATATCGTTGTTGCGAAAACTTCCACTAAAACAATTTTCTAGACATGATAGAGATATAAAATTTCTATTAAAACAATAAAAACTATTTAAAATTTGGTCATGCCTTTTATTTACCACAATTAACTATGATTTTATCATAAAATGTAATTTAGAATCACTTAAGAGAGTTTCAGAGTTTTGTCCACCTAGATTAGTCAAATCGTATACTGTGGGCCGGTTTGGTAGTTTTGAGTCCTTAAAATGTGTGAGTAACAGTGTCGGAATAGTGCCCTAGGGGGGGGAGAGTTAACTCCCAAAAATCCACCCTGGGTGCGTCCAGTAAAGACTGTATTAACTCAATTGTTTGACGTTTTTGAGTTACACCCCTGAAGAATTAAAATATCGGGATATCTTTCAATGAACGAAGTTCTAAGTTAATTTCACCATGTTAAGGCAACCAGTTTTGCACTTCGATATTGTACTAACTTAGTATATCGATACATTTTCCAACGAAAACTATCCTATCTTAAGGATAGGATAGATTATTATTCTATGTTTAAACCATAAAATCTAACTAGATTTTTTGTTATTTAATCAGATGCACCTCATTGTAACATTGTAAATCCTCATTTATGTAAACACATAATTATAATAGACAATTTATTAAAATTTGTTTTGTTTTATTACATATCTCTTTTCAATTTCACTTGACAGGGTAGTTAGTAACAGGAAATTTAATTGAGTTAATCCATAGATTAGTTAATATGCGGAAAATTATATTATTTTCGCTCATTTTGGTTTATTCGGGATCTACAGTGTAGGTAAAAGTTTATGGTCGGTATGGTAAAATTTAACAGGATATCTAACGCAGATATAAAATCATATTTTCAGCGAATAGACAAAGATAACAATCATATTTCCCCTTGGTCTCCCCTCCATATTTTTAACACTCATTGCTCATTCGTGAGACGAATAGTTCCGATCAGAGATATTTTACATATTCTCTGGTTCCGATCCTAATATACCTAAAAAACTAGAGGTGGGTCCTCTCGTTTTTTAAATTTTTATCGGAACCGTTTTTCGTAAACTGTAACTAGTTGATTGTTTACCAGTATTCAAATTAGCGAGTACACAAACATATTGGCTATTATCATTAATGTGTATAAGTATTGAAGTGAAAGAACCTAACGAAGGATATATTTCTTATAACTTGAAAAATAAATTAAACAATACAAATAGTACTTACATTTACATTACACATTATTAAATGCGAATCGTCTAAATTGACATTTAAAAACAAGTTTTTCCACTTTTCTTGTTAACTGTGTTCTTCTTTTATTTAAAATTAAACCAGATTTTAAACGTGTGTTCACAAGGAAAAGATTTTGTTACAATACTACAATATTTTATGAATATAGTGGTTAAGTTAGGATATACATGACGATGGTTTTTCTACCACGGTAATGGACAGTTCCAATCTCCGTTCGAAATTTTTTGTGGGTAATATATCATCAGACAAATACATGTCGACTTTTTTTATATCTTTCGATACAGGTGTATGTTTAGATGAGTCACATCCAATAAATTCATCAAAAATACACCATGGACTTAAGTCATCTTTATCAGTTTCTTTTTCTTGTACTGGTTGATTTTCAAGATTTACTAAACTTATGCAAAGACTCGTTTCATCCGTTTTCCATAGGTGAAGAACCAGCTTTTAAAAAGTTTGCAGGGTAGATTCCTGGATATAAACTGCAAACAAGAAAAACTGTCAGGTTCATTACTTCAGGAATGTTATGTCAAAACTGATTTGATAATAGATAAAATAAAAATCCTATTTTCGACAATTCTGCAAAAAACACATTAAAAAAAAGTAGCTTATCTTCAGAAAGACTTTTAAAGTAATAATTACAACATAACAAAGTTCCCAAACGGCCAATCCAAGAGGTGGAAACTAGGTAGAACTTCACCTACTACATGTTAAAAAAAAATTACCGAGTTAGAAGAGGCAATCCGTTCCTCATCGGTATTAAATAATACAGACTTAGACTTAGACCAAATCTAAATAAATAACACTGGATTATTTGTTCTCAGCTTTCCCAAATTTTACGGCCGTTTAAAGAAATAACAAGTACAATGAGTAACCAAAAATACTTGAAGGGTAGTTCAGTGATTGTTATGGTACGCTGCCTGCAAGAATCTTGCAATAAAATTTTAGCAAACGGTAAATTTAGCAATAAGGTTTAGCAAACCTTACATCCATAGTATCCGACGTAGTACAATTACTAATATCGGGTTTAGCAAAAAGATTTAAAGGGATAGAACAGAGTGGCACATTGTTATTATGTACATTTATGGATTCACCATTTAAAGTGCAGGGTTTTTCTGATAAAAATAAAGATAAAAAAAATTAAAGAAAAAGTTAAGAAGCTGGTTACTTCTATAATTAACGAACAAGAAGATTGTACTATTGAAAATCAACCAGTACAAGAAAAAGAAACCAATAAAGATGACTTAAATCCATGGTGTATTTTTAATCAATTAATTGGAGATGGCTCATCTACACGTACACCTGAATCGAGAGTCCATTACAACGGTGGAAAAACCATCGCCATGTATATCCTAACTTAACCACTATTAGTATTGTAAATGTGAACACATATTCAAAATCTGGTTTAATTTGAAATAAAAAAAGAAGACGGTTAATAAGAAGTAAAGTTGAAAAACTTATGTTTTTGAATGTCAATTTAGACTATTCGCGATTTAATAATAACGTGTAATGTAAATGTAAGTACGAGTTACTATTTGTATTGTTTAGTTTATTTTTCAAGTTATAATAAATAAATCATTAGTTTCTTTCACTTCAATAAATATACACATAAACGATAATAACCATTATGTTTGTTTATATAGGTACTCTCTTACTTGAAACTACTTTTAAACAATCATAGTTACGTGTTTACAAAAATTTTAATTTTTAAATCCAATAATTTTTTTTGGAATCCTGAGAAAACTAACAAATATTTTTGAAAAATTTAAATGCAGAATAAAAAATTACATTATTACCGAGGGCCGAAAGTCCCTTAGAATAAACAAAAAGGTTTTTGAATGAGATATTTGAAATTAAAAATCACACAAATTTTGTTTTCACCCCTATAACTTATTAAAATAAACATTGTAGAAGTTTTCAGGGACTTTCGGCCCTCGGTAATAATGTATTGTTTCATTCTGCGTTTAAATTTTTCAAAAATATTTATTAGTTTTCTCAGAATTCGCAAAAAATTAATGCATTTAAAAAATATTGGAACGAAATTTTGTGTCTACGCTCTTAACGATAAAATTACCACGACCCACCTCTACTACCCGTTACTCGGTCGGCCAAACCAGACCGACGTTGCCAAATAATTATTGTGTATGAATATTTTTTAATGTGGCGTTATTGTATGCAGTTTATTATTTCATATTGAGAATAAGGCACAATGTGACTTTAAAATAAGCTTATTTTGATGTTTAGATTTTTAATTCGGAAATCATACTTAAAATACGAAACATTAATAAATTTTATTTATATAAAACGATTTCCGAAGTGGAAATCAAAATGTTACACTTATTGTAAAGTAAACTTGTGGCATATTCCCAATAAAAAAAACAGTAAGCTGCCATTTAAATCAATTTCGCCCAAATTGGATTATCTTAGAACATTGTTCAAATGCAAAAAAAAACAACAGGTCAAATAAATCCAATAAGTTTGGCAACGTTGAACTTCCCCTTTCCAGGCATGCATGTTTGGCGATATAAAGGGCGGACCTAATATACCTCTCTCTTTCTAAACAGCTGTTTCTCACTCCATCTCACGTAAGGTCCATACCGACCATAAACTTTTTCCTATACTGTATATCTGGTTCTGTTTAAGCTTTTAATTCTTCCAGTTCTTATTCCTTTACATTAAATTATTTCAGATAGAAATCCGACCTTTCTTTTGTCTTTTATCTCTCAGGCTTACTTAGTCCGTGCTCTATTATATTCTTCTTTCTTCTAATCTATTCTATACTTTCTTTATCTTCTTCCCAATTGCATACAAGTTTTGTTACTGTTTTACACTATTAAAGACTTATATGATGACCTATTTAGAAGTAAAATATTGATTTTTACCTGGAGTAGTGCTTCTACTTTTTTCTTGGGAATATCCAGATGGAACAGCCAACTTTGATGGTAAATATCTTTGTTGTCCTTGACTAGCCGACTCTCCCCATGCTGTATCCCACGGCATTGACCATCTCCGTCGCTGTTCGTCTCCACTTTCTCCAGAGGAATCGGCAACCCCCGCTTCAGACCATCTGCGCTGGCAACTTAAAGGAAACAGTGGGAAATGAAGGGGGGATCTTGAACCACGGCCAGGAAATGGTGATTTCATCGTATGAAGTGGGCCTGGGATAGGAAAAGGACCTACAAAATTTAAGAATCGTAAAATTATAAATTTGTTGCTAGAATTTCTTAAATTTACCTCTTAGAGTTTCCAAGGGTCCTACCCCTTTACCACTACCATCTCCAAACACATGAATCGGACTTTGTCCACGATGGATTCCCTCAGCATGCGGAGAATGTTCTCTTTCGGAATGAGGACTTTTCTGTCTCGGTACTTCCCCCCTGGATACCTCGTGACCTTTGGGACTTTCCATCCGCTCAGATGGTAAATGTGGGCTTGATCGTTGTGAAGAAGATTCTTGTGGATAAAGTCTGTCAAACAAAAATTATATGTCATAAAAGAAATGTTCTAGTGAAATTATTTCTGTTTAGGCGATGTCTTCAATATTAATGATGTTGCAATTTGCAACATATTCTGAATGATAAGTAATAACATAAAAAAATTGTTTAAAATCCTTTATAAAAGGTATATAAAAAATGCCCCAAACGGGCTATCACAAACCATTGCAAAACGTTTTCAGATTGATAAATCCATCATCAGTGCAAACGGTTGTACATGCTAGTAGCCACCAAAATATATGGGTCAAAACCATGGACGTATAAACATAGATGGACACAGCAATAAGATACCTTTAACACACAATGTTTTGAAGCTTCGATAGAATGTGATGCTTCCGCAATGAGTATAAGCGTGCTTGAATTTTTACTCGCGGGTAATTATTCAGATTTTAAAAATTGGAAGTACCTAGTAATAATGTATAAAAACACGTTCAAAGAATTAAAAAAAACGAGAATTTAACTATTAACAAATCACGTCTTTATAGAAAAATTAAAATACAATTTTATTATATCTTATTGAATACATTAATGAACATGAATAAACCCAATGGTACGCCTATTAAAATGTAAACAAACACGCTTTTTCATTTCCTCATCCTAAATAATGTAAATTTTATGTACTTACAAATGAAATGAAAGACCGGGATGTAAATATTTCGTTTATTTTATTTCACTTTTCACAAATATCACTCAAAATACAGCCAAAATTATCTAAAAACAATTTTTCCTTATTTCCTCAATCGTTGTAAACAAACATGGAATAGCATTTGAAGTTTGACGTAGAACCGTAAAACAGAGAAATGTAAACAACCGTTGCCATTTATAAATAGTTTTCAGTGCTTCTAAATATAAAATAATTTATTGATATCTATTATACGCTATTATTAAATGATAATGCACACTATGTGCACACTTGATATTTTGATTACAATTAGATATATTAATATAACCAATAAATTATTATTTTGGTTTGATAGCACCTGTAGAGTATAAAATACGGAGTAATATTTTCAGCGACTCGCGAATAAGAATTTTTAATAAAAAAACGTGACAACAGTTGGAGGTGCTGAGAATGTGACATATTCAAATAATTTTGACTTCACAATTTTATGTAAATAACTGAGTCCATCTGGGTTTATACGTCCATGGTCAAAACCCTTTAAATGTTTTAAATTTGTAGTTGTTTTACATTATTAATAGTTATGATTGTGACGTTTAAGTTACCATTGGATAGGTAACATGGCGGCGTATGACTCTACATAAGTAAAATGGTCCTGAGACGAAGTGTCTACGAGGACCTGTTGATAATATACAGGAACTTAGTTTCCTAGTGGAATTTTATAATTTAAATTTATCTTGCCCAACAGACAGGGAAGTTAGTTCCTAGCAATATATGATAAATGAATTGCGCTTTTAAATGGTTAGGTATAATAAAAATAGTTAAATATTTTTATTGTTTTTAACCATTCCGTTGTTGTCTGCCTTTAAGCATAACTAGATTCAGAGGGATTAAAATAGGAATCTAGTCTTACTTTAATATAATGTGTAGACTGTTCCCAAAGTATTTTTTTTTATTATAAAAGCATTCTTTGTCAGTTAGAAGGGTGAATACTCTATAATAACCATTTTTTTCTTTTCCTGTCTTGATTTACATGGACAAGCCATCAGTTCCCTCTCAACACACACATCACACTTAACTTCAATTTTTCATAACTCTTAACACAGATCACTCTTGTTTTCATTTAAATCAATGCTCTCCTGACATTCAAGTAAAATCTTAACTCACTCATAACTTCTTGTAGTGTCTTATTTCAACACATTACGTCTTGCAACCTCATAGTGGAAACTTCACTCTCTTATGTTTAAGAAAAGAAATAACAATGTTCACACAAATAATGTTACAATCATATGCTTACCTGTTAAAACATTGTTGTAATGCAGCCAAACTACATTCAGAACTATGAATCCCACCAGGGGCAGTCTGACATAAAGGGCACATAGCCATGGACCCAAAATTTTCACAGCCAGCGATAGAAAATTGATATTGGAGATTCACAAATGCCAGTAAGTTTTCAGTGATGATTTGTTGATTATGTTCTTGTTGTCTTTGAGCATCTCCTTCAGTAAAAGTATCGCCTAAAATATCATAAAAATGTAGATGTTGAAATGCCATAACTCTGATAGCTGCATAGATCATGGACGTGGCATAGATGTTTAATAATACAGATTATAGAGATATTTAATCAGTCTATGAAAAGTACTTTTGCTGTTTACTTTTTCCATTAAATGTTTAATATGTTATTCATTATAATATTTGTTGTTAATTGTTTTTCCTGTTTCTGTCAATTTTTAAGCATTTTTAAACCGTTGTCAGCATTCTTAACCCTAGAAGCATAATGTATGTAACTGAAAAACCAATCACAATGTGGGTTCACCAGTGACCCTCATAAATTCGCTCCAATGTGCCAAGAAAAAAACTGGCTCAGTGATATTAAATTTATAAATAGTGTATTATATTTTTTATAAAACTTCTACAAGAAATAACAAAATAAAATTACGATTAAATATAAAACATCATAAATCAATTTTTTTTTAATTTCTGCTTGATAACCAAATAAACATGCAAATCAGCATATATGTATGAGGAATTTTTCCTCGTGCATATATGCTGATTTAGCACTTTACTAATGTAAAGCTACTAATGTTCCGCATTGCCCCAGAACATCTAAAATTAAATTGTCCAAAGTTTCTTCAGGGCAGTTGTAAACTTCACTGCTGAAACCTGGTACATGACAAAGGCAAATGAGTCCTTTTTTCAAATTTTTTAAAGAGAAATAGTTTAAAGGATCTAGAGACTGATAAGCAAAGGTCCCTCATGAAGAAGTAATTTTAAACTTCAAGAGTTGATAGTAGGAGAAAACATAGTTACTTTTGTAAAGTTGGGAAGACTGAGGTGGCTTAATATGCAAATGGGGCAATCTAAGAGGAAACCTTTTATGAAATAATAGAGCAGCTGAAGGAGGATGCGGATAGCTCAGCGGAGAGATCTGAGGTGGAGAGACCAGAGGTGAATTCAGGATGAGGCCAAAAACCTACCCTAGTGCCTAGGGTGCATGTATGTAGTCTATAAATAAAATAAACAAGCAATTACAAATACAAATAAATAAAAATTGTGAATAGTCTGTATAAAACAACCTATAAGTTTGTTTTAAAATTACAAAAGTACCCAAGAGAAATTAAATAATTTAAAGGATCTTACCTATACTCATGTCCTGCATGGCATTGGCTATATGGGTTTTCACAGAATTACTAGCAATTGCAGTTGATTTTGACAGTTCTTCCCAACTAGACTGGCATTGTAGAGCAAAAGGAATATTCTGCATCTGAGATAAATTATTCAGAGATTGAGATAGGCGCAGACCAGCTGCACACATGCTGTTTAACATCTGAAAATATAAAAAATTTCAAAATATACAGTTAATGTACAGATCTTTTGGAAATGTCAGGTTTATGGATGTGTTATGTTTTTTTATTTTGTCTTGAGCTATTTAAAATATTTTACTCATACTATTTGTGATTACTTAATAGTATAAAACAAAAAAGTGTTATCAGTAGAAGAGAAAAAGGTAATTAGTCTAAACGATTAATAATAGGAAGAAGAGATAAAGGATAGTAAGATTGCTAACAAAAATTGTTAGAAAACCAAGGCAATGAACCTCATAGATTTTCATATAACTTTTCACATATAGACATTGCGGTAGATATTCTATGATAAAACAGCTTACGATACCTGTAAATAATGAATCCAGCTATTTAAACATTCTGCAGCAGCAACTTTCAGTGCATTTGGACTAAGTTGTTGCTGAGTTTCTTCAGATTTCTTATCTTCTCTTCCTTCCCCTTGCTCCATTTCGAAAGTCAATTTCTAAAGACAATAAGAGATGAAGTACATTTTGTACATATTATCAAAAGTTATATCAATGGTTTTTAATATAAAATTTTAAAATATACAGGAATAATATAATTTACCTATAATTACCAATGTAAATAACGCCCAACTATTAAACAAACTAATCTCGGTTTAAAAATAAAAACATTTTATCTGTGGTATTTTAAAAATTAATAAAAGCATTATTTAGTGTTTGTAAATAAAAATAAGATAAACAAACCCCAACCCAATGTTATTGACATGACACAGATCACAGATAGGTTTGCCTGGGCAACCCACCCACTGACATGACATAAACTAAACATAAAAAGTTCATCTATGGACTGTATGTTATACTCCATTCGCTTAGCTCGGGCACATTTTGACAGATTCATTGTCGGAAACCTACAACACAACAATTCCTACTTCTCAGTATTAATAACTAAAGTATACTATTATTGTTCTAAAATTATATTATACTATTATTTCCCAGATAAATAGTAATTAAAGTATACTAATATTGCAGACTTTTTTCTTTGAAAAAAGAAGAATTATTCTAAATAGTGGAAGTGCAAACTAAACCCATCAAATTTTGGGTAGTATACATTTAAAAAATATATTTTAGTGGTTATAATTTAACATAACTATTTATTATTATGTTTAATAATAATGTTTAATATGTTTAATAATTTATTATTATGTTTATGTTGAATTAAAATTCGCAAAGTTCTATTTTATTTACTATTTAGGTCAATAAAAAAAAAATTGCAGTAATCAGGGAACTTAAGATAACAATAAATAAAGATCGTGGCATTTCGGGAGTTCCGACAGAAGTGAATACTTTCTTATAACGTGTTATTACTGGGTGTAGGTTAATAACACTTTATGTGTGCATAATAATAAATAGTTAATATTTTTTATAATAATGCTAGGGGAGAACAGGGTACAGCCGGTCAGCGGGTAGGGGAAACCGGGGGAATTTTGCAAAGGTAAAATACTTGCAAAAAAATTTCCTATGTGCAAACAAACTTCCATAATTTAACTACTGAAATTTGTATCTTTTAGAAACGGTATTCCCATAAAAAATAGAATTAAAGTTTACCGGATTTTGAAGAAAAAAATTTACTTTAAAAAACTGCCATTGCGCTGTTTTCTTCCAATTACAGGATAATTCTGCGCAGAATTAAATAAATCAAATAAAAATTATTGTAATAAAGCAAATATTGTAAACAAAACAGATTTCTTAAAGACAAAATTTAAAAAAAAAACATTAAAGAGATAATTTTACTTTCTGACTGTCTTTCGTTCAACCTTGGCACACATATCGCATGTATAATTAACTGCTGAGTCCCAACCACTACATTCTGAATGAGCCCAATTCGAACACATTACACAACGGTACCAAATTTCTTTGTCTCGTCCGAATTCACCGTACACCAAACACTCCTCATTTTCTAATGTTAGATCTACATCATCTAATTCATCATCATCACAAAGCTTACTCTCATCATAACTTTCAGACTCAGAATCATTAAAATGTAAGTTTCTTAGTCCAGCTTTCTTGCGTACAGGTCGTTTCTTTGCTTTAGTAGCCAGTTTTCCTACGTTTCCTGTCGTTTTTTCTTGGTTTCATTTTTTTGCCCTTTAGTTTTTTTCTTAATATTTCTCTTTTCTTGTTTTATTTCTAATTGCGATTTTAGTGGTGTGGAAGTAAACATTTCTGAGTGGTGTTTTGCACGTAATTTTTAACTTTTCGTTATCAATTTGGAATGAAGAGGAGCAAGCTTTTCAATGGGTATACTATACTGAGTTTTAATATTTTCCTGACGTTCCAGTCTGGGGTGCAGCTTGCTGGTTTGATTTCAATTTGGCATTATAAGATGGAGTCTTGTGCATAGTCTCATCACATCTCGGTGGTCCCGGTTGGGGTTCGGTATTTCTAGGTGGAGATCTCTGCAGAGTTTCGTCACATCTCGACTGATCAAGGGCCCTGTCATCATTGGTAACGTCGGTTTCTAAATCCATTACAACGTGCATATCTGAAACTTCAGTGTGATCTACTAAACTGAAATCATCTTCAGATAATTTATTAGGATATATGGACCATATTCTAGCAGCACGGAACCTGGATATTCATTTGTCCATCGTGGCAACTCTCGGGTATGCTTTGTTAAAAATGGAAGCAAGTTCAAAATGTTTGAAATTTTCATGAGTATGAATTCTCAGATACAAATCGCCCTCACGATTGAAAGCATTCTTTAGAGACCCAAAAAAAGTTAGGTCAAGAGGTTAAAGCCTGTGTGAGGTATGAGGCGGAAGTGAAACTATAACAATTCCGTGTGAACTACAGTAAGTATAAATCTCCAAAGAAATGTGACTCCCATGGTTATCGAATATGAGAAGCACTGGATCTTCTTTCGAGGCCTTTATACGCTGACAAAAATGTTTTATTCAGTCGAAAAATAACTCTTCATTTATCCAACCGTTTTTTGAACATCTGTAGATTGCTCCAATTGGGCCTCCTCTCATTAATTGTGCATTCATACGTATTCGAGGGAATATGAACATAGGAGGGACAAACTGTCCTGAAACATTTACAGCGCATACCATGGAAACAGTTCTCCCTCTTTCCCAAGATATTACGGATCCTACTTGCTTTTGACCTTTTGGTGCCAAAATTTTTGATGGTTTCTAGACCGTAGAAATGCCCGTTTCATCTACATTAAAAATTCGACTCTCAGGAAATTTGAACATTTTCCATAACTATGAGCAGATTGTTAAAAAATCGTTCAACCTCATCTTTATTGAATGCAGAAATGCGGTTTTGACTGGTACCTTCGTGTTTTCTAATACTAGTGTCTCGATGACGCTTTAAAAAGAGTTCTAATTAATCTTGACCAACAATCTTCTTTATCGAGTCGAAACGGTGTTTTATTTTATTCTCTTCAGCAAAGTGGTATGCTAAACGTCTTAGTTCTGATGGTGTGACTCCAAAAAACATATTCGCCAACTTTTTAACATGCTTTGCTATGGTGGATTCCTGTTCAACATTAAAAACTGGTGTCCTGCCAAGTTTTATTTTTTATGGCTATCGGATTTATGTGTCAGTGTGTCACGTAGAGTGGATTCTGGAATATTGAATGATCGACCTACTTCTCGTATTTTTCGCCCAGATCGTATAGCAGTGATCGCAGCTTTTATATAGTTCATCTTCTGTCCATTTTAATCTTTCAGTTTTCCGAACCTAAACACGGGGCATTTTGGAATCTAAAATGCAATAAAAACACTATATCAGCAAAAATTCTTACACGGGGTAATATCGCGCAGCACTAAATTATCCCGACACAGCTGCGCGGTATTCCCCCTATGTGAGTAACCTAACGAACTCACTGTTCGTTAATGACTAAATAAAATGCATTATTTTTGTACGTGAAATTATCTATACATATAAAGCAAAATAATCACTGAATAGTTTTAATGAAAATTAATAACAAAAGCACTTACCGCTTGTTAAAGATTAGTCGAAAATTACATCAACGTCTTGAAAAACAAATAATCTGTGACCTTGTCTAAACCAATACAATACAATACTACGAATTCTAATTCTGCTACGAATGCAGTCATCTTACAAAGATGTGGTCAGGTAGCAAATACGAGACGGCGCAGTGTGTTGAATGTTGCAATACTTACGCCGTGTTGCCAAGATACTGATCAATACTGATGCGCGATATTCCCCGGCTTCCCCTAATGGCAGTCACCAGAATATTTACTTTGTTTACTTGAATTTCGCTCCTAGGGACGTGCTTCCACATAATGGCCTGTTGTTTAAGTACCTTGCAAGTAACTATAAACCAGTTGGTTTCTGTTGTCGCAGTAGTCAAGTCGATGTTTGTTGTATGTGCGTTGTAATTTTAACCGGCACGTTAATAAGCAGTCATATAGTTGTGAACAGTGTTTTAATTGCAGTTTTCGGCACATTAAAGGTGAAGTTTCATAACTTATGTAAATTCACATTGAAAGTTAAAAAATACATCTTTCCATAATAATCTAATATAAATATGACTTGTAATGGGGTATTGGCTTTGACTGGTATAACCCCGCGAGTGACTGCCACTACCCCATGATTTGGAAATATGTTATCATGTATTTTTTAAGTTTTATATCTTCTTCTTCTTTAAGTGCCATCTCCCAGACGAAGGTTGGCAATCGTCATGGCTCATGACCTTCGAGGCAGCTGCTCTGAACAATTGCCTTAAGATGCAACCAAACCACTCTTTCAGATTCTTCAACCAGGAAACGCGTCTTCTTCCTACGCTTCTTCTACCCTCTATGTTTCCTTGAATTATGAGTCTCAAGATGTATCTTTCGCCTCTCATCACAAGTCCGAGATATTGCAATCGCCTTTCTTTTATTGTATTTTCCATTTCTCTCTCTCTCTGCCTAGTCTCCTTAACACTTCTGTATTCGTGACTCTATCTACCCATGGATTCCTTAACAATCTTCTAAATGTCCACATTTCAAACGGGAAGTCGATTTATTGATTCAAACATCTTTGGGTCAGCACGTTAAAAGAAAATAGTGCCTCTCTTGTGACCACTCCATTCCGAAATCCAAACTGGGAATCACTAACATCCATCTCCAGCTTAGCGTGTATCCTATGATGGATGGTTTTTATCAGGGTTTTTAAGGAATGTGACATTAGACTGATCGTTCGATAATCACTACATTCTTTGGCATTTACTTTCTTTGGTAGACAAATAAATGTTGGACCAAAAGATCTATGTTTTTTTCATTGACCAGTTTAAGCAATTCACTTGGTATTTCATCTGGGCCAGCAGCTTTATTATTTTTCATAGACTTTACTGCATGCATAACTTCTGACTTTGGTATTTCGGTTGCCTCGTCTTTACTCTGATTATCCTCATATATATTTTCCTGTCTTTGGTCAATAATTCCTCTATATATTCTTTCTATCTTCCTAATTTTTGTTCCGTCTTCACTAAAATGTTTCCTTGTTTGTTTAATAGTATGCTTGAGGTTTTTTGTTTTGCTTCTTCTTCTCCTTCAAGTTCCACTCCTATCGGAGATTGGAAATCATTCTGGCAATTATAATTTTATTGGTTACTCGCCTGAATAGTTCAATTGAACTGCATCCAAACCATTCACGGAGATTGCGTAGCCATAAGATTTTATGTCTTTCTACGCTTCTTCTACCTTTGATTTTACCTGCATTATATTCCTTAGTAGTTCGTACTTTTCACCTCCATGATGTGCCCCAAGTATTCCAATTTCCTGATTTTTATGGAATTTAAAACTTCGCATTGTTTTCCTAGTTGTTCGAGAACTTGTTCGTTTGTTTTGCGATCCATCCATGATATTTTCAAAATACGTCGGTAACACCACATTTCGAATGCTTCTAGGTTTTTAATGTTGGATTTTTTAAGTGTCCAAGCTTCAACTCCATACAAAAGGGTAGAGAAAATATAACATCGAAGCATTCTTATCCGGAGCAATATATTGATATCGCGAATACAAAAAAGTTTTCTCATTCTATTAAAACTTGACCGCGCAATTTCAATGCGGCATCTTATTTCTTTTGTCTGATCAGTATCTTCTGTGATCCATGCTCCAAGGTATTTGTACGAAGATATTTGTTCAATTTCTGTATTATCTAGTACTTAACTTTGATGTTTTGTGCTTTTGTAAATACCATGAACTTGGTTTTCTTCAAATTAATTTTTAGTCCATAATCGTTGCAATATATATTTAGTTGTTCAGCAAGGTGTTACAGTTCTTTTAGTGTTTCTGCCAGAAGGACGGTGTCGTCAGCATATCTTATGTTATTAAGTTTACCGTTTATTATAAGGCCCTCACTGATCTCGGCAAGCGCTAATTCTGAGATGGCTTCACTGTATAAATTGAATAACAAGGGTGATAAAATACACCCTTGGCGGACCCCACGGCGAATCTGGATATCCTTGGTCAGTTCGTTTTTGTTTACTCTACTTGTCATTTGCCATTCATGACTTTACTAGGGGTACTCTAAGAGTCTTTAATGCAGTGGTTCCCCGTTGCCTTCTGCATCCTTACTCCGTTGACATATTTTTCGATTCATCCGCCTTTAGGACCAGTTTCCCAACCCTTGGACAAAAGAGTGCGCTTCCACTTATTAACTCATCCGCCCGCAGCCGTTGGTCATAAGTAGGGGATTGCTTATACCGGCAATCATTCGGTGAATTACCTGTTGGTCCACGGGAGGTATTTTATTTCCCTCCTACCCACCGGTAAACCGGGTCGGGCATTCCCCTATCCGACACCTTGGGACGCGCTCTCTAGAGGTTAAAGGTTCCTCCGAGAATTTGTTTTGTTACACCAGCTAATTCTTTAATTTCTTTTTCTCTTATTTTATTATGCAGCTGTTGATACTGAGTTATGTTGATATTATTTTGCTTTCTTCTGTCCTCCGTCATTTCCGTTATTTCTTCTGTCATCCAATATCTTTTCTTGCATCTGGTCGTTGTGAGTTCTCTGCGACTTGGTTCGATAATTGCATTTTTAAAGAATTGCCACTGTTGTTCTACATCACCACCAATTGATTCCCGTGTGGATTCTAAGTTTTATATGGCTATATTTTAATATTGTTCTTTATATTTTAGATGTCATGACATCACATTCGTTCAACTAGTAAGGCGCAATGGATGCAAGAGCAGCTATCAATAGCTATAAACGCCGTACAAAATTGGAAGTCTATTAGAACAGAGAAATCTATTAGAAGAGATACGTAAAAAGTCAACAACGTATGTTCCACGTCTAGGGAGAAAAGCTATCTTCACCTCTGACCAAGAAGCCAGTATCATCATCATTCTCGCTTACAACCCTGCGTAGGTCCTAGCTTCCTCAACAAATTGTTAATAATTAAAAAATAGCTCCAAATAATTCAAGGCAGGAAACAAGTAGGTTTTCTTCCTATAGGTCTACAACTAAAAAAGTTGTCGGACACCTGGATTATTGAGTGTCACGAACATGGTCTATTTTTTGCTTATTCCCCTGGAGTATATATTTGATTAACATCTGTGTAATTTCTTTGTCGCTTCCTCGCTGGTTTTGCATATTGCTATGATAGCAGTATCATCGGTAAATGTTGCAATTGTATTATTTTCTAGGACAATAATATAACATGTATACAAAAGGTAAAGACATTCTTTGTGGCAGCCCTGCTGTAATTTCTTTCAGTTTCGTGTATGTTTCTTCCTGTTTAATTCTCAAATATCTTTCCAATGTGTAGGAGTCAATTATTTGAGAGTATCATTTTGGTAAATGTAGTCTTAGTTTATAGTTATGGCGTCTTTGTCATACTTTATCATATACCTGAGTTACATCCTAAATTGTCAATCATATTATCCTTCATGATCCATGTTTCACATTCATATAAATAGTAATACAGTATATTTCATCATTATCAATGACGCTACAACTCTTCATGAGTCTTTGACATGATTACTATTGCCTCCCATGTTTGTCTTTCCTGTGCCAGTAATTCCCATTGTCGCACTCCCATTTTCTCTAGATCTAAGAGTATTTACATATAACAAATTAAATCCTTAGTTGTAAATTTTTGAAATAAGTACTCAATATACATCTAAGTTTCATAAATGCTCCTCATAAATCTAAACTTTTGTAATCCATTCTTTGTTGATAATTAGTTGCGTAGGGCCGACGTTTACTAACCACAAGTAAATTATCTTATTTCTTTCATTTGACAATAATAATCGTCTGTTAGATTAGTATTGTAATAAGTAAATTAGTCTCTTACTGAATGATAATAAACAACACATCAAACTTATTCTGAAACTATTTCTTGTGTCTATGTTATAATTTATTAGATTTTGGTGTAATAAAGCACAACCTATCAAATTCAATATCAAAAATCAAAATTGGAAATTATAGCGTGACTAAATTATTTCTTCCTTCAAGAAATTTAAAAAGAACTGATTCCTATTACTATTCAGTGCAGGGACAGTTATTTTGTTATTTATATCGAATAGAGAATACTGTTAGTTTGCGGTATGGACTCCAAAAAATATTTTATTCGAAAATATTGATAAAGATATGGAACTGTGGGAAAATATGCTACAAAAATTGCAAGATTTTTATTTGAAACACCTTCTGAAGAAACATCAGACATAATTCTGTATTTATATAGGTTTATTTTATCAATTTTAATGATCGTGATACTAATCAAATTTTTATGATATATAAGTATAATCTTGTTTTATAATTTTTATTTTCTGTAAACTTTAATCTACATTAAAATTCAGACAGCCAATTTTTCAGTAAAAAAGTAATAAATAAATTATGTATGTAAATTTATAAATAGATTATATTACTTTGACCTGTAATACTATTTACTCAAAACACCACTTAAGAGAAATTTATGGTTTTATTGTAAGCCCCAAACCTGTCACTTCAGGGGTTGTCCCGATTGTATAATCGGCTGGAGTAACGCATTTTTGACCTGGGCTTGGAGATATCTGAAAGAAGTTTAGAATATTACTTCATGAACGGATTTTGTTTTCGTAAAGAAATATTTGAAATAGATAGCCCACTGAAATTTACCATTAGGATTTTCGAGGATGAGCCTTAAGTTACCTACACATTTAAGTTCTTTACAATTTAAAAAAAAATTTTTTTCTTTAAATAAAGTTCAAATTTTATTTATTTAAAATTGATGTTGTATAAAACATAAAATTATAAGAAGTTTATATTATACCATTGTATACAAGGTTACTGCAACCATCTAAATAGGATTTTGGTCCCATCCAAACATACTACGCGATAAGAAGTATTCACTTCAAAATGGAACTAGGACAGACTAAAGAATATGTCAGGAATCAGTCCAAACATCATACACATGATCATGGATAAGATAATATAAATCAAATAGAACCAACATTGGTTACAAAGTGAGAAACTAAGCTTTGAGAACCTCTACAGTGAATAATGCAATAATCATGGCAGAACATTAAGATGACCATCAGTACCTACTTTACAGATTTAATAAACAGTATACAACCACACAATTTAAAACATGTAATATCCCACTAGGAGACACTGTAACAGAGACACTACATCATAGATATTGAATGTTCAGCTTTCCATTTACAAATAAAGGTAAAGTAAATAATACACAAAAATATATATACAAAATTTATTTCAGTCTAAAGTACTAAACGAGTACCTAAATACACCAATTCCGGAAATACATCCAGTGTGAGTAAATTACATGATCTGTTGATATATAAATATGAGTTAAAACACTAAAAATAAATAATGACGACGCTATTGCAACTTAACATTTTCCTGGAATTGGATTCCTACTAATACCAAACTCATCAGTCAAAAATTAAGTATTTCAGTGTATTATTAAATAAACCTAAAAGTATCGATACTGAAAGTAAACATGTTAATTTTAAGCCTTAAGTATAAAAAATAGTTTAAAAGCAAAGGAAATGTATTCAAATTATTCATCATCTTCTTCCTCTTCTTCATTTTCACTGCTTTTGTCTCCATTTTCTTCATCTGCTGATTCCTCCTTCTCTTCCTTTTTCCTCCTACCACGCTTGCTCACTGAAATAAAAATAAACATGAAATATAAATACAGTGAAGAGATGACAAAACAAAAACTAATGTTTCATCACTTAAAATACAATTTATTTATTACACCTATTTGTATTGGTTTATTTTGGGCATGGACGAATTTCTGAAGATACTTTTAGTTCATAAATTACAAAATAAAGGTAGCTCTATGTCAATACCATCCACTTTGATACAAAGGATTAGTAAACTAAGCTAGAATTTTCGTAAACAAATTGAAGTAGGTACACTTAACCACTCCATCAGAATTATGTATACCAAAGACTATATGGTAAGGATGTGATAGATTCAATAAATAGGTAACTGTTATAACATTTGATAACTGTTCACAATAAAAATATAAACCAACACATGACGAAAAATCGATATTCCAAACAGATAGGAAAACAAACTAAAATAACATTAGAAAGGGGAATAAACCAAATAGTAGATGATACATCAAAAGGCAATACACAAAATAAAACAATTAGTATCAACCATATTATATTTTGCCAAACTATTATTACTAAATCTTTATAGAACCAAAAATGGCTATGAAATTGAGTAACCATCTTAATACAAATTCATAAATTTGTAAAAAAATAGCATGGAAACTGAGAAACAATATATTTACCTCCATTGGATTTAGCTTTAGTTTCCTTCTTCTCAGCTTTCTTCGCGGTTCCCTTTGGCCTTCCCCTGCCTCTCTTAGCTACTGGGGCATCTTCAACTTCAGCTTTTGCATCCTGAAATTAAGTTACATTTGACATGAATTTAACAAAAACATTGTTCCTGGTTGTTGAAAAATAACATACATTACTCTGATACAAACGATGTTTTGTAAAAAAAAAATACACAAAGAGTTAAAAAGAAGAACCCCTTTGAAAAATTGGGCTTTTCAGATACATTTTTATATTTTAAGCCACTTTAGAAAAAAAGAATTGAATTAAAAAATGAGAGTTTTCACATAATAATGCCGAATCATATATTAAGGATATATTTGAAGAGAATTTGGCAGACATTTACAAAATGGAGCCAAACAGGCTTCCCACCAAAACAAGATGCTTTGCAAAAATGTGGTAATTATTTTAATAATAGCAGTAAATATTTCAATACAGTAAGATTAATATTCATAGAAAAAGAAGCATTTAATAAAATTTTACTTCAAGGATATTAAGATGAGACACCTTGCAAAAACCGGCTTGTATATATAGCGTCATCTTGCCGCCTTTTTGGCGGCTTCATCCCAAGGCATATTGAGACTCACAAACAATATATCAAGAATTTGTACGTAATTATTGAGCAGTAATGACAACAAATATATATATGCAAAAATGTGTAAAAAAAAATTACCTTTTTGGTACGTTTGGTTGCTTCAGCTGCTGCTTTGCGGCCTTTTTTGGTTTGAACTTCTTCGTCAGACATTTTGATATCAGCACTGCAACAGAATACAAAAGAAACTTAAAACTTATTTAAATTAATCCATATTAGAGTAGCTACTAATAAAATCAATAAATTACACAAAAAATCGATTATACATTACAACTTCTCATCTATTTGTAATATAATCTAATTAAATCAATAGTATAGTTATAACTTACCTATTTATACAAAAGGGTAAAAGAAAACTTAGCAGATTTTAGCTTGGCTTGTGGCTTGGGTAGTCAAAATCTCTCCAACAAAAACCTCCTCACTCGATGAAATCCACGGAAAGAATGACCAAGCTCAAGCAAGCGTCAAGCTGGAACGGGTAACGGATTTTTCAAATAAGCAAGAAACAAAGAACCGTCAAAGTACGCATGCGTAGCGTGGCGTCCAAATGAAAATTAGCAAATATACGAGTTTGGCAACATTGAAAACCACACGCCGAGATCATAAACCCATAATTTAATTAAATATGGCGGGGAAAAAATTTAATGTGCTAAACCAAAGCCAATGTCGTTATTTTGCTATGCAAAAAATAAAATAAATCTAATAAATATATTTATCATATCTCTATTTTTGCAATAAACAACATTGATTTTAGAATTGTATATTTATGAAGTACATTTTAATATGTTCTATTTGTACCTTTTTTAAAACTTCATGAAAGCGCTTATGTAGACTCGACTTTTTTCGTTATAAACGAATAGTCTATTGTCATTAACAGCTGATTATGGTTGGATTCTGACATATTTATCTTCTCTGTTTATATATTTGTCATATTGATATAAAATTTAATTAAAAAAATTAAAATTCAAAATATGGATTTAGAAGACGATATTGAGGACGACAACCAAACTGTATTTATTACATTCCCACCCTTAGTTCAAAAGGCAATTGAAGAGGTATTTTATATAGTTTTATTTTTCACTATTTGTAAAATTATATTTTTAAGGTATTCCCAAGTAAAGATCCTCTTGACGAGCCAGATTTTAACAGCATTGACTATATTAATTCTTTATTTCCAACGGAGCAGTCTCTTTCAAATATAGACGAAGTAGTTGTAAAGGTAGAAAATAAAATAAATGCAATAGATAATGAAATAAGTACTGTAGTTCGGGGACAAATTACAGCTAGCGAGGAAGGAAAGCAAGCTTTAGAAGAAGCACAAAAGGTAAATTGTGATTCTCTTTATATAACTCTTAACTAAAAGTAAATCAATTATATTTTATAGGTTATAAGACTGCTCTTTACTCACATCACAGATATTAAACAACAAGCAGAAAAATCAGAAGAGATGGTTCGTGAAATAACCAGAGACATCAAGCAGTTAGATTCAGCTAAAAGGAATCTAACACTAGCCATAACCACCCTGAATCATTTACATATGCTAGTAGGAGGAGTTGATACACTTAAGTCTCTCACTCAAAGAAGATTTTATGGGGAAATTGTGCTGCCTCTTCAAGCTATTAGCGAAGTTATGACTCACTTTGAAAACTATTCCAACATACCACAAGTGAAAAGTTTAAGTGACCAAGTAAAATCCATACATCTGGAATTGGCTGATCAGATAACACATGATTTTAAAGAAGCCTTTTCAGGTAAAAGTGTGATAGATTTTTTTATCAATTTTTCTGAGAATCAGGCTCAGAATGTCATTTTTATCTTTCAGTGACTATGTTGTCTAATATGCGTTTTTTAAACAAATATATTTTATTATTTTTGGTAATGTAAAGTATTTCACAGGATGTAACCTTTTGTACCATCATTTATAATTTAACATTGCCAATATTTTGTATTTTTCTATTTCACACAACTTTTTTAGGTACAAACACAAAAGTTGTTCTTCCCAACAAACAACTAGCTCAGGCTTGTTTAGTTTTGTCAATTTTGGACCCAAGAGTTAAAAAAGAACTGCTGAAATGGTTTGTGAACTTACAACTGCAAGAATATAGTCATCTATTTGAAGAAACAGAAGATACAGCTTGGCTGGATAAAATAGATAAGAGATATGCATGGATAAAGAAACATTTGTTGGAGTTTGAAGATAGACTGGGTAAGATAATATTAAATTAACATGTTGTGGATGTACAGTGAATTTTTGACTTGAGAACTTTATTTAAAGACAGTTACAACTACAATAAAACTGTTTTAACTTCTAAGTTTCTAATATTTTATTAATTATATCACATAATTAAACATTTCCTGAAATATTTTATAATAAATCATTCCAATTCCTCTGTATTACGTTATAATAAAAACTATATTACCATGTTTTTATGTTAATGCTCTATCTAGTCTATATCTGGGTAAAGTCAGCACATAATTATGGTATACAATGTCTCTCTACACAAGAGTAACATACTAAAAAAAATGTAACAATGTTTTAAGTCCCGTCATTGGTGAGTCAGAGTCACTTATTTTGGTTAGAGTGTGCAGAAATGTATTTATTTGTAGTTAAATTACATAAATAATAAAGATAAACCATTGCTTTTGGCAGCAATTTAGTGTTAAGTAATAATCAAATAAAATATGTGACATTGTGAATGTTATCAATGGCATTTCTTCTAAGAACGAGCCAGGTATAATTGTGATCTGAATGTCATAAGAGTTTGTATAGACAGCGATTTTCTGGTGGTGGTGGGTACTAGTATATGGTAATATCATTGAATATTTGCTTGAGTGAGCATAATCGTAAACATTTATGACTTTTAATGAGTTCAAATAGATAATACAAAAAGTTGGAGCTGGAGGATACTGAGAGAAATCAAGGCCAAACCTTGGTGAAAGCCTAGGTAAGTACTCCACTACCTTCCAATCACAAATTTATGGTCCAGAGATGTGTCCATGGGACTAATTAAGAGGAACTGCAGGGACAGAACTTAAAAATTATATCTGATAAACAGCCGGCAGTAAATGCACTAGAATCGAATCTGATTTACTCCAAAGTTTGGAACTGTCTTCATAATCTGATTCGGATCAGACAAAGTACTAAATTAACTTTACTCTGGGTGCCTTTACATATTGGTATTGAAGGGAGCGAAAATGCAGACATACTTGCCAGGTGTATGGTACATAGTGAACCAATTTACTAAGAAATACCTAAACACATGAACAAACATACTATGTGACTCAAAGGCACCGTTGCTTAGTCTTAGTAGGTTATGGTCGGTGTTGTTTATAGAGGTGAGAAACACAAGATATACACAAAACAACAAAAAGAACAAGGAAGAGTTATATATTTAAATCCCCAAAAAAACAGAAATGGAATAACTCGCTGTTAATAAAATATATTTGAAATATCAAATATCATAAATTATGTATATCAAATATCATAATATATCAAATTCCATGAACTGTCTCCGCTTTTCAGTATATTGTTGATTCTCTTTTCAATGTATACTTCAGTATTTTATAGCTGCGAATCATTTATGATAATCGTTATTTTTCAAGTTTAAATTACGCTTATTCTTTTAGGCAATATGTTCCCACAACATTGGGAAGTATCCGAACGAATAGCAGTCCAGTTTTGTCACAACACAAGGGAAGAGCTAGCTAAAATCATGGTGAAGAGAAAAAATGAAATAGATGTTAAATTGTTGCTTTATGCTATTCAGAAAACATCGGCATTTGAAGGTCTTTTAGCCAGAAGGTTTACTGGTGTAACATTGTCTGAAAATAGCGAACCCTCCAAGGAAACCACAGAAAATAGAAAAGAATTAAATGAATCAAAAAGTGAAGATAAAGATGGCGATATTAATTCTTCAGCTTTTCATGGATTAATAGGTAATATTATTTTTTACTTGATTGTTAGTATCTAATCTAATAAGTTCTAGTGACGGATCTATGACCTTTCTTATTATTTCTAGGCAAATGTTTCATTCCCCATTTAGAAATCTATATCGAAAGCGTTGACAGAAATCTCGCCGACCTCATAGAACGTTTCGTTTTGGATCAAAAACAAAGTAAACCAACAGAAGCCACAGAGACTCAAGCGTCAATTCTACCCAGTTGTCCGGATTTGTTCGTTTTCTACAAAAAAAGTATGATCCAGTGCAATCAACTGGACAAAGGCCACACTATGTTGAATTTAACCAAAACTTTCCAAAAGTATCTACACGAATATGCTGAGAAGCTACTTTTGAGTAATTTGCCGAAAATTGAGCCACAAAGTTTGGGTACATCTGTGCAAAACTTTACTAAGGATTTGCAGAAAATATCTACATCAGGGTTAATACAGAATTTTTCGTCTTTATTAAAGGAAGGAGAATTGACCAGGTAAGTGTGAAGATTTGTTTTAAGGTTTTATCACTTTTTACTCCACTACAAAGCAATTTTAATGTAATGGTGTAATTATAATACATTTAATGATGAATCAGTTGATCCTAGTTCAAATTATGCTATGTAGTAATAATAAATTGTATATGGCTCAATAAGCATCTATTTTAAAAACATTTTACAAAAACTTGTACATTTTACAAATTAGTCAAGTACCCCAGGTTATGTCCAAAAAATACATAGTGTCTTGACAAATAACATCTTTCAAATTTAACACCAAAATATAAAAGTAATAAAACAAAATCTTATTCTTCAATATCAATATTCAATTCTTAGAAAATCAATATCTTACAAGTACCTCCCTTTTCAAATTCAATCGTTGAGGCGGTTTAATTTCCCTCTTATACAGTGGCGGACTCACCGGGAGGAAATGAGGAAATGTCCCTCCCCAATAAGGTCCAAAAACAAAGATATAATAGCTGACATGAAACAAATTCAACAACACCCGCTAGTTAGGAAAATTAAGGGAACATAATGCATATAACTTATCTTATTATTTATATTTTTTATGTAGGTTGAGTTTATCTTTTTTATGGCTTTTGGTTAGTGTTTAATTAGAAGTCCCCCCCCCCCCCCAAGGCAAATGTAAATATCTACTGTTCATTCCGTCAGCAAATTCCCAACTATCAATAAAAGCACGTGTTGATGTTCGCCTTCTCATTCGTCAAGAGGCTATTAAATATAATTTATTACCTTAAGCCAGACATATTCTCATGTTACAGATCCAAACTTGCGATTTTGTTTAAATTCAAATTGTATCGTGTTGGTTTTTAAGTTAATATATTGTGTGTTATATTTGTTACAGTTATTGTTAAGTTATTTACTGGTCGTGTTATTTTTTTAGAGTTTAGTTTAATTGTGATTTAATGATTAAATATCAAGAAATTCTTACACTAATAGTTTCAAAAGTAAATAGTTTTAAGAATCATACGATACACATCAGTACGACCCTGTTTTTCTTTCACGTGCGTATGTTGATAATTGGGAATATGTAAAATGAATGTGGTTTAGATCGAATTGTAACTTAAGATTATCTTTTGTAAGAGAAGTAATAAAAAAAAAACTAACAAGGAATAAGGCGGACTGCTGGAGAAATATTGAAAGAAGGAAAAGTAAGACTAGAGGAAAAAGGAAAACAGACTAACACACTTATTTAACAAACTGATATACAAATAAATGTATCCAGGATATAAGTTGCCACATTTTAAATGCGAAATATATTGTGTAAAAAACATAATTACAAGTAAATTTTATAATATAAATTTATAATTACCATGCCCTAAATCCTGTCCTGGACACTACGGAAGACTTTAACCAAAGAATACAGACGCATATAGAAGAACAGTTCAATCGTTAAGAGGGCGACTGCATAAACTCAAATAGTAGCCGTAAGATATAGTTAGGGGGAAGTGGGAAAAGGAGTACGAACGGAGCTATTTATTTAATTTATGCATCCACGCTTAATCAAATTTCGACGCCATTGATTTGCAAACTGTTTTTTTTTGTTTTTTACACAATAAAATCTTTAATTTATATTTAATATATTAAATTATTAAAGTTTTAATTTTTTAAAACTTAAAAATCTAAGATTAGAATAGCCATGATGATTGCCAACTTCGGAGATACGTAGCACGTAAAGAAGAAGAAAAAGTTCATTTTGATCTCCGATAGGAGCATCATCAAGTTCTTGCTCCAGTTTGTTAATGATCAAATTTGCTTGAGCCCGATCTAGTATGAGTATTATTCTGAATACTTTTGTCACGGTGTTTTATGACCTATCTGCTGTTTAGAGCCCCTTGGTTTCTTAACAACTCTGTTACGAGGGGGGTGATGGTATTCTCCCAATGCCTCTTTTTATCCTCGGGTGTTGCTGATTTGGTTTCCTTAGGATTCGCTATGGTCCATGTCCCAGCAGCAATTTTTGCCTTTTTTCTCATCTTCCTTTGTTACGCTCCAGTGAGGCTATTTGAGACTTATTTATTTTTTTAATTTAAAAATCCGAAATTATACTTCACAATTTCGAATTTTCAAATTGTAAAAAATATTTCTTTGGTGTATGTGCTCAAAAACAATTCTAGCGTACTAACAAGATCAGGAATTGTTATTTGATCAAAACACAATTTTTTGAGCTTTCTCTTCCGGTGATTGACTTTTATTAATTTTATTTATAGTTTATAAGAAGAGAGTTTTAATTATATTATTTGTAGATTTGTACATATTTCAATTAAAAATTTGAATCATAATATTTTGGACGATTTTGAGGGTTTATATTTTGTCGTTTTGTGGATTCTTCACTCTTAAAAAACTGTTTTTACTCATATCAACATTTCCTAGTGTTGTCCCATTATTTTTATTTTATTTTTTATTAAATTATTGAGTATTATTTAGTTGACTTCCTTCCTTTGAATTTGTTGAGTTGATTTCTGTGAACGAAATACTTTTATTCTTTACTGTGTGACTAGTAGTATTATTTACTTTAGGAGTAGTCTAGTTCTTTTTACCCATCATTCGATCAACATTTCGACTGTTAAAGGAATGTTATTTTGTAAGGCTTCTGCTGGTGCAAAATCTCCATCTAAAAAAATATCAAGATTGTAGGGAAACAATCTTGTCTCGTTAAAACCCTTTATAGCTTTCTCTGTTGTCGATACTCTACCGAAGGCAAGATTAAACAATTCAGCAAGTTCATTAGGACTTGTTTTGTCACCTGGATAGCTTGTCAAATATTTTATACACTCAGTGTTGTACACCGACTTTAAAAGTAAACAAAAAACAACACCTAACATATAATATTGTTACGTTATTTAAATCACTCAACTAAAAAACTCACTAAATAACAAGTTTCTCATTAAATAATTGATGAATTCGACCGTTACTTGATGGAAATTCATTCATTGAAAACAAAGTTTTCACTGTTTTATTGTTACAAGTTTCTCATTAATAATTATAAATACACTAAAAATTATCGGTTACAATAATTTTGCTATCGCTTATAAAAACACTTGTTCAATTACTGTCTATTCAAAGGATGCCGAGCAGTTTATACAACACAAACATATGTTCTAGAGATAGCCAGCGAAGACACGAATACCGAATCAGCGCTATCACGAGATTTCAGAAAAACGCTGAAAAAGAAGTTCTCTAACTTTGCTGACAACATGGTTAATTGGGCTTATAGAATTACTCTTACGTCAGGGCCGCAATTAGAGCGTTGTGACTCATAAATATACTGTCAAAATAATGATACAAATACAAAAATAGTGATGCAAAATTTCATTGTAGAAAGTGTAACCCTGCAAGGGCAGTGAGTGACATGATTACCCAAGAATAAAAGTACGGGATTATCTTTAAATGCTCTTACAAATACCAAATAACTTGCATGAATTATTTTTATATTACTTCTCTTTTCTACTTATAAAAAATAGTATTTCTCTTCTTTTTATGTATATATGACTCTGTCTGTTTTTTAATGTGCCTCCTGTAAGTTTTTGTTCCATCGTTTTCGTGGTCTTCCTACTGATCGTCTCCTTATTGGGAACTGTCTCTTGCCGTCTTTACTACTGTATTTGTTTTCATTTGGTTTATATGATTGTTCCATTCTACTCTTTTATTTGTTACCATGTCCTTGATGTCCTCCACCTTACATCTACTTCGTATATCTGTACTTCTAGCTCTGTTCCATAGTGTTTTACCATCAATTTTCCTAAGTGTTTTTATCTCTGCTATTTCTAACATCCTTTTTGTTCTCTCTGTGTCAGTAAATTCTGTTTTTCATTTCCCGATATTTTTATTTCGTCATATTGTTTCATTCAGGCAATCTGCGGCACTGTTTGCTATATTCACTTGATATTCCACTTCTGTTTCGAGCTTTTCATAGCTAGATAATGTAATGAATATATATTTAAATTCTATCACTTGTTCTATTATCTGACCTTCCAGCTTCAATGTACATCTTAGTAAATTTGTTGTTATAACCATGCATACATTTTGTCTTTTTTGGGGAAATTATCATGTTGAATTTTCTGGCGGTTATATTAAATTGCTTCACTTTGAGAGAATAGTATTGCATCGTCTGCATAGCAGATTATTTTAAGTTGTTCTTCTCCTTTTATTATATCTTTTTTAGTTCTTACTTTTTTTACTATTTCACCCATTATCAGGTTTGTTACAAACGATGAAATTTTTAGCGTATACATCCACTAGTACAAATTAAACAAAGCCAAAAACTACTATTACTGAAACCAGCTCAAGAAAGTTTGATACAACATAGGTCAGAGGCTAAAAACAGTGGATGACAGAGTAGAAATACTATTACATATGGAAGAAAAAAGGAAATGTAAAGGAAAAGATCTACAGAAGTATAAAGAAATACAAGGAATAATTAAGGAAAAAATCAAAACAGCTAAGGAAATTCTTTTTATGAAACAATGTAAAGAGATAGAAGAACTAGAAACAAAATATGATATGAGAAATATGCACAAAAAAATAAGAGAAGTGACTGGAATGGGTCGAAATAGACAACAATTACACATAAAAGACAAAAAAGGAGTACTACTAATAGGTTTACCAGAGAAATTAAGACGATAGGAGAAGTACGTTAGAGAACTTTTCCAAGCTGAAAGAGGTGAACTAAAGAAAATACAACAATTAAATCCTTTAGAGAGACAGAAGATCACAATAGATGAAATCAAATATGTTATCAAAAACTCTAAAGACCATAAGGCAGCTGGATTAGATGAAATACTAGTAGAACTGTTAAAACTAGTGGAAGAGGATAACTAGGAAGTATTGGCAGATTTATTCAACACGGTTACGGGAATAATACCACAAGAATGGCTGAAGTCACCATTTATAACCTTCCCTAAAAAACAAGCAGCAAAAGAGTGCTCTGACTATAGAACACTGAGCCTCATGAGTCATACTTTAAAAGTACTGCTGAA